TATTATTAAATATTTTTCTTGTTGAGAGTGAAATTCACTTCCCTCTGTATAAAGACAAATAGTTTATGTGTGGAAGCTGTGCCTTCCCACCCTGAGACCTGGCCACAGGGCTGTGGTGGCAATTCAGTGCAGTGCTACTCAAGCCACTTTTGAGGGAGTTGCAATTAATGTTTCAGTTCATCATGGATCTTGCTTCCTTCCCCATAGTACTTCAGTCAATACAAAGGCATGATAATTCTATTCACAATTTCTGTGCATTGGCACTATGAGGCATAAGCTTGTGTTGGGCCTTGCACAGCCGAATTTCATCCTGATTTGAATCAAAGGAAATACTTCCGTTGCTAAAAGCCAAGCAGTTGAACTGGATGTAGGCACAAAGAGGTCTGTTTTTTCTCCCCTGCTAAAAGCTGGGGAAATCTGCTTCATCTGAGTTTTAATTGTTCTGCTTGTGTCATTATGAAATTTCTCCCTGGTATTTTAATAATGCTCTTGAGCATGTCATCTATCAAGGCTTACATTCCTGGAAAAGTTAATGACATTCACTGTATGTAATTTTGCATTGCAGGGAACTCTCTTTCCTCCCACCCTCCACCCCTCACATCAAAATTTAATTTCTCATTCCCTTAATTAAAAAAAACCACAATGAACACAAAAAACTTTTTTTTCTCCTTTTCTGTAGAGCTGTGCAATGAATCCACTCACTTACAGTTTAAATTTTTATTAGAGATATAATATTTGTCTTCCGTTTCATTGTGAATCATCTATATTTGTTGTAAACATAATGGTGTCGCTAGGGTTCCTCTCCACCCTGCTAATCCTCAGCTGCTGTTTTGGCCTGGGGTGCCAGGGGTCCAGTTCGTCTGGTTCACTGTGTACAGCTGCTGCAGTGCTTGTCTCGTACTCAGCTGTTCATGTTCTAATTTGTAGTTGTGAATCTAAGGTCTGGAGTCATCCCAGCTTTTTCCAGAGATAGAGAAGAGAGGTATTGAGATCTGGCTGGTGTACAACAGGATTTTCCTTTATAAAACTGATATAGCTGCCAGAAAAATGTTGCAAACTTTTGGAAATAAGAGATAAAAGCGTGGAAAGTTAGACATTATCTGATGCCAATAACATGTCACAAAAAGCATATAATTACCTATAAAAGCAGAGAAAGAATGAATGAGAGAATCAATGTTCTAGGATGTAATTTAATATTGAGTTCAGAGGTTCTTTTAAATCAAATTATTAACAATATAAATTGTAACTAGTATTAATGAACTGTGGACTTTAAAATGTCCCAGAAAACTTTATTTAATAACAGAGCCTCTGTGGCTTCAAAGGACTGAAGGCAAAATAGCTTTTTTCTACAAGTAAGTCCAAAAGATTTTTAGGATTGTCACTCATTAAGTTGGATAAAATTGGCTGTAAATCTATGTTTGGGTTTTCCTTGCTGTTTCAGGAGGATCACAAAATTTTGGGGAATTGTTTTTAAACTCAGATTCATCACTTTTGTTAAGCTGAAATTTAGATCCTCTGGAAATGTATCCAAAAGCTAACCAAAGGTGCCAGCTTCTAAGAAAATGTTTGTGAACCAGTGTCATGGCATTTGAATTTCTGCACTTTGAGTCTGCATTCTTATGCTGTGCAAAATAAGTGGTGCAGTGCCATATGGGTTATAATATGACACCATGCCATGATGTATGTGATCTTCTGTCAAAATGTGATGGGTCTGAAATACAACTAGCGTACTGTACTATGACTGAAACATTCATGTGGACAGTGGTAATGTTATAGCACGTGCTGAGTATGAAGGGGGAGAATCCAGATTGTTCTGTGTTCTAAATTTCAAATGGACCTTGCAGTACGGGCACTTGGAAACTCTGGCCCTTATTTTTCAGTGCTACGCATACCTGTAGTCACTTTTATCTGGGCTCAGGTGGTATAAAACACCTGAGGTACTACTAGCTAGCATGCAAACTTTCAGGACGTCAGCTACTTTGGGGTAACTGCAGTCCCTTATCCTGTGGAAAATGCACGGTAGCTTGACCCTCTGTTGAAGTGGGGTAAGCTACCTTGCATTTACTGCGAGAGGAGGAGTGTGCACTCAGGCTGTTTTTCAGAGTAAAAGGACCTGATACAGAGGCCATTTGCAATGCATCTTACCTTGTAGTAAATTGCTTGTATGTCCATAAGCCATGCCACGCTTACCAGGGCACTTCTCTAACATTAAGCCTACATTACCAGGTGATAAAAGCTAAAGATTGTATTTATTTTGCTAACTCCTCATAGGGCATTTATTCATGATATGCAAAACTAGATTATTCTGTATTTGCATCATTCAGAATGCAATTTTGACTTCCTTAAACTTCTACAATTCATTGCTAACATCCAAGTGTACTATTCTTTTTTAAGCACTCTCTTAGTAAATGACTGAATAGCATGGATTGATAGCACTTGTGGTTTTGGCTTTTCTATGTATTTTCCTCTGATTATCTTTCTCCTAAATCATTAGCTTCTATTGATTAAGGGTGCTGTTGTATTGATGTTGGCTTTTGAGCATTTCAGTTCTTAACTCCTCCTAGAAACCCCTCAGAAAACTATGAGCTGTCAGTATTTGCATTTCTGCCTTCTTTCTGTACATTCACAGCAGGGCCAAATGAAGTTTGCCAGGTGGTTGAAATGAGAATAATATTGGTTCATATCAATACCATCTTTCCCATTTATGTGAACTATGCATCTCATGTACACTTGAATTGGCCAGGGGGAAAGGAGAGAAAGTGCAAAATTGTTTATATAGGGGTCACCTTTCTTAGGAGCAGTTGCAGCTGTTCCCTAGATGGTAGGAAATACGATGGGAAGATATTAGTGACCTTGTCCCTAAGCAGGTATAAGAAGGCACCAGGTCAAAATTCTCAAATTTGGATGGCTAAAGTTAGGTCCTTAAATCCATGCTTAAGCATAAAAGTAAATTGCATGATTTACCTTTTATTTCCCTTTGGATTACATGGACACCCAGCATCTCTGAAAATCTGTTCACTTAATTACCTTAATGTAGATTTGAAAATGTTGAAAATGTAGATTATTGTACATAACGTGGAACGCTGAAGTGATGGTATGTAACAAAAAATGTCTAGCTTGATCATTCGTGATGGAAGAAGTGTGCTGTTAAGAAATGTGCATAGGTCTTCCATTGAACCGAGTTACAATGATAGGATGGCAGAAAAGGGGTGTGGCATGAGAAATACAAAGTACACAAGAATGATCTTGCGTGTAGTTATCTTTATAACTCAGGATAATGGTTTCTCAGTTCCTGCTCTGTACCATATGTTTACAAAGCTATTGCACATCTCTTGATTACAGGGGTAGAAAATTGTGGCTGAATTTTATAGAATCTTACCCAGAATTTTACAAATGCTACTTTGTACTTGTTCTCTTTTAGTAGGGCTTTGCAGTTAGCACTCCCTTGCTTAGCACTGAAAAGTTTGTGCCTAGTACAGGAAACGGTTGAAATGGACTTGTCAGTTGTTTCCTATTACCCTGTAGAAATGCTCATGCAGCTTATCGTAGCCAAAGATATCCAAGAGTAACTGGGCCTGATTCTCCACTGCATTATTCCAGGTTGACATGTTTGTAACTCTATTAAATATGGAGTAATACAGTAGTGTTTTGGTTTCTATGTGGGCCTAGCCTTTTGCTTAAAGCCAGTGACAGGAGCTGACCTTGTTGAGTGCTAATTGCATTCTGACTTGGACTTCCTTGGTGACTTCAGACAAGTCACTTAACCTTTCAGGATGGGTTTTGCCATCCACAGAGGAAACTGCCAACTTCTTATGGCTGTTGTGAGACTTTACTAATCATTTTTCAAGTGCTGAGAGATTCCCAGATGGTAAGCATCCTAAAATGAGAACATCCATGAGTTATTTTATTATTTTAATATTCATATCATCACATGTGGGTTTTGGTCCCATTCCACAGATGCTAAGATAAGTTACGCATGGGGAAAGTTTGAAATTCTTTTCTCAATACCTTCCTGTGCTTTTAAATCAAATTTGTCTTTGATTACCACTTGTTGCTTTGTTCCTTTTCTTTCCCTTGCTCATTCCTGCCATGCTGCTGGTGATCATTAGCTTGAAAGTATTTGAAAATGACCTATCTTTGAAGCCTTTACATCACAATCAGGACCCAATCAGAACACTTTGAGATTTTAAAATTACTTTCACTGTGTTGTTATTCGTGTTGGATGAATGTAATAAGTTTGAAAGGGACAAGAAGAAAGTGAGGGGAGAGATTTCAGAGGAAGGGAGACGAGGGACAGATTGGTAAGAATGAGAGAGAGAAGAGCATAAAGGAGACAGTGATGGAGACAGAGACCATTAACAAGGACAGACAATATATGAACGAGAGATCTTTCATAGGGAGAATATTTACTATTAAAACACTTTCTCTTTCATCCATATCTGTTCTCTGCACAATGTATAAACCCAGTTCCCCTTTAGTTCCATTCCTTTTGATAGGAATTTACCTTAATGCCATGGCATTTATGGTATTGGGTAAATTTTGTAATTATGTACATTTCTATCTGTTATCTATCACTTTGTTGCTAATTTCAAATGAGGGATGGGATATATATTTTATAGCGGCACCCTTTTAATGTGTTGTTTTTAAATTAAGAGCAATTAATATATGTACTTGTGTTTGGTGGCTAAAAAGGTAAACGGGTGTCAAGTTTGGAGTATTGCATTCCTGTAAAAAATGCTCTTGTTTGGTTGGGTGGAATTACAAAGACACTATATTAGTTATTCTGCTAATTTTAGATAGTGGCTGGAAGTGTATTCAATTTAAGGGAACAGATTATAGGAATATGATTACTGAACTCTCCTTGCACTCCTCTGTTCCTAAGGGATAGTTCATCTGGGGCATCTTCTCTAAAATGTCTTACTGAAGGCTGACTTAGCCTTTTCTGACATCAGAAATTTCAGATCACCAGAATTAAGGTTCTTTTTTTCCTTCCATTTTAGGTATCCATCTGCCAAAGGAAGATGAGATCTCAGTTCCTGTGATAGCCAGCTCCCCTGTTAAGGATGCTGGGGAGAGCATAGATTTCACAATTGAGGAGGAAGAGAAAATCAAAGAGGAACCCTTAACCATCTCAGAACTGGTGTACAACCCAAGTGCCAGCTTGCTGCCCACCCCAGTTGATGAAAATGAGATTGATATGCTCTTTGATACCCCTTTGAGGGCAGAGAATGACAAAGACGACACTGATTCATTTGAGGAACTGGAAGTGGATGAAAATGCATTTTTGGTCGCAGAAGAAGAGGAGCTGAAAGAAGCCCGGAGAGCACTTAGGTGTAGCTATGACTTTCTGATGGGCAACATACAGGTCAATGCCTTTGTGAAGAGTTTCTCCAGACTTCTTCTCGTAGGTCTTGGACTGTTGCTGTTTGTGTTCCCCCTTCTCCTTGTTCTCTTGGAGTCAGATCTTAATATCTCCTTTCTCCATGAAATTCGTCAGACACCAGAGTTCCAGCAGTTTCACGTTGAATATTACTGCCCTCTCAGGCAATGGGTTGCTTGCAAAATAAACTTCATTTTTGACATGCTGGGCAGCTCTTAAATTTAAAAAAAATGCGAGACAACTAAGGGCTATATTCAAAATAACAGTTAGTGCAAGCTTCTCATAATGCTTGTGGGGCCATCAGCAGGTAGTTGACTTCATTTTCAGCTCATAAGACTGCTCAAGTTCTTAAGTTTACTTTACATAAATAACTGCTTTCATTACAGGCTTATAAGGTGGCCTTTAAATAACCAAAAAGAGGTTTTATTTTTATTGCATTTCAGATTTCCTGAGTCATCTATTGTATCACACCATGCACGACTGGGTTCATCATTTGTAACCTTACAAGCCATGACATTTGGAGTCTGAAATTTAGTGAGAGAGGTGTTTTTGAATATATTCCTTAGTGTAAGAATCTCTTCTAACCAATGCCTATACAAGCAATGTTTATGCTGGGTTTTGTTTCTTGGTTTGTTTTTCTGGTTTTGTTTTTTTTTTAACGATTTGATGTGTTTAAAATATTTTGGTAAATTTTTAGCAATTGAGAACTCCTGAAGTTATTTAAATGTACAGATTGGTAAGAATAATGCACAAGGGGATGTATGGGGATTTCTTAATGTTTTAACAATGATTTGTTTTTAAAATATTTTGGCTGGACAGTATCTGTTATAGCTGGATACAAGTTGGCCTGTGGTCTGGGCAAAGTACAGTAAGTTCGCTCAAGTTTAGTGGGGGCTGCTGAGGGGAGATGAAATGACACAGAATCATCAAATATGCTTCTAAATGGCATAGTGCTAAAGATTGGGAAGGTGAATATCATTGACAAAATGATTATCCATCTTCATCTGTGTCCTGTCATCTAATTTTTCAATCAGTGCTGCAGAAAAACCTTTAAGACAGTCCAAGCAAGTGTCGTAAGAGGGTGTGATGGATCTTTGAAATAAATGTAGATTATTGTACATAACATGGAAACCTGAAGTGATGGTAAGTACCAAAAATTGCTAGCTAGACCAGTAGGTGAGTGACCTACTTTTTTTTTTTAATGGTCTTTTAAACAGTGAAGCATTAGACTATACAGTTGATGTGAAAGTCTTCTATGAATAATAAAAGGATAAAACATTATTAAAAGAAACATACTGGTCCCTGATTCCCTTTCTTATTAATCTCAGAGAATCCTCATTAACTGTGTTGTCATTTCCTGTGTGTGCTGATTCTTACCCTGTATGTGTGTCAGTGCACTTGCATTATTTCCCTCTGTGTATCAAACTAGTCATAGGGGTCTATTGTTGTGTTAATGTACCAAGGAATTGTATATCTGCAGTAGTTCACATTATTGTTTAGAAAATATACATACAAAAAACCTTGTGAGCATTGAGAAAATCAGTAGATCCCCAAAAACTAAAGAAAAATGAAATTATATTTGGAAACTGGAGCATCATCATAGCAGATCCTTTTTTTTAAAGCATCACTGTTGATGTATTGATTTTCTTCAATTTAAGCTAGTGAACTACAGCTTCAGCCTCATAATCTCTCCTTGATGGAGTTCCTTAAGTGGAAATGTAGTTGAGAATGTTTGTCAGAACAGTTCTTGTCATGTTGTAACAATAGCTGTAAGTCACACAGCGCCAGATTGAATTTATTCTTTGAAAGAGGGAATCTTAACTCCCTACTTTATGCTTTCTAAGCCTTTGCACGACCAGTTTGAAAACTGAAATTTCCCATGAAGTTGTTTATTCTTTTTCTTTTCCACCCCTTTTAAAACGATATAGCGTTCATAGTTTTTAGGAATTGCTCTTCCTAATTGTCAACTTCTGGATTCTTCCCCATTTCCCAACAATAAATGTGAAATAGAGCCATTCAGTCTCCTGTCTCTTCATTCTGTCTTTTTTCATAAGTCTGTTCCTAATGAGGATCGTTATTAATTGGTTGGTTGGTGCATATTTCATCTTGTGTAACTTGCAGCTAAACAGTCCTTTCCCTTTAGACAAGAATCATCCAGTCCACTAGAATTTTTTACAGCAAACTAAAGTAGACGTATGACTTTAACAGGAATTATTTCTGTATAGTTCATATTCATTCATATATATATATATATATATATATATATATATATATATATATATATATATATATATATATATGAATATAGATTCCTGTATAAAGTTGTGAGCTGAGAGTTCCTGGATGGTGATGGTTATAAGAGCAGGCAACTTGCTAGAGTACAGGGAGATAGTTCCATGCCAGGTCCTATTTATTAAGTCCCATAATTATAAAAAGTTAGGTCCAGTGTTCTAAAATGTAGTCTTGTCCATGTAGAGCTCCAAGAATTGGAGCATATGTTTTGTTTGATTAAACTCTATCTGCAAATGGCTGAGTTGCATGAGGAAAAGATAACCTCAGAGAGAGCACAGTGCAATAAGGTTATATGTAGGGTTAAATGCAAGTGTGTGTGTATGTGCCTTTACTGTACGTGTGTACATACAGTCCTTGCCTTTTAAAATTCCTCCTATCAAACAGGTAACTTTCTGCTCTATCAGGTAAATTTTACTGAAAAAAACATGGAGTTTCTGGAAGATTTTGCTACATATCAGTTGAAATTTAAAGGGCCAGGACTCTATACACACACAGACAACACTCATAAAAATGAACTGGTATACAGTATGGCATTATATATATGTATGTATATGTGTGTGTGTGTGTGTGTATGTATATATGTACATGCATACATGTGTGCATACACACACACCAATGTCTTAGTGCTCAAGATGACAGCCGAATTATGAATTATGTAGGTACAGTATTGTGTATTTCTGTCTGTGCTTGGAATATATTGTAAAATGTTATGTACTTGAAATCTATTTTGTGGTTTGTCTAATATTTATAAATGCGACTCTGGGAAGAATTTAAAAATGGGTTTATTTCACTGAAATGCAAAAGACTTGGGGGAAATGTACCTGTAACTCGAGCCTTATCTTTGTACAGTGAATTTCACATTTCTATGTCAACATCCTGATTGTTTTGTATGTTGATACGATGGCAGGAATCCCTAATAAAAACACACTGGAAAAATGCTCTGCAATGCTGGATTTTTTTTTCTGATGAAGGAAAGTTTATTGCTGTGGGAGATGACCCTAACTCCTGTACAAATTAAATATATATTTTATATAGTGTACTTTGTTCGGACTTAATTGTCATGAAATTGCAGTTTTTCTGTTACAATTGCAAGTTGGTGTTTTCTATATTTATGTTTCATGAACTATAGATACAGTAAATATATGTTGAATTTTGAATTATGTAATTCATATTTTTGTTGTTAATTTGAGCATGATATGTATGGATACCCAAAAACTTCATATTTGCTTTACTTATGATAGATCTGTGTTTGTGGTGCATAAACTATTTCACAGCTTAGTCAATTATGGAAGCACTGGCCGTGATACCATGCTTCAAGTCAAGCCAGGTCAAAGCAGGGATTCATCTTCATTATAACACATGAACAAAATAGAATAGCTGCCCCCAAATCATTGCTTCTACTCTGATTATTAAATTAATTTTATAAAAATGTATAAATAGTAATTAGCTTGAGTTGACTAATTTAAAAATGGGCACTTGGTGAAATTTTGTTACCGTCAGTCTTTCTTAGGTTTCAATGATCTTAATAACAAAATAACAGATTCTACAGGCCTTCTATATCATTAAAACTCTTTGAAAGGCCATGTGCAAGCTACATTTGAAGAAATTAAGCTGAAGTAAGGCTACAATATTAGTGGTTGTATGTATCTGTTATGATTGGACAACATCAGTATTCATCTCATCTGGGTGATGTGCCATTAAAAATTACCTGGATGTTCACATGCAAGTGCCTCACTTGTTCTCCAAAATATCAGAGTTCAGTGAAAAATGTAGTAAATCACTAGCAACTATGGTTGCTAATTAAAAAAAAAAAAAAAAAAAAAAAAAAAAAAAAGGAAGGGGGGAGAGAATAGAGGCAGAAACAGAATCTCCCTCCTTGTCCCCATCAACCATGAATCAAGTGTGACCAAAGCGGATAAGCTGCTTGAGTTCATGGCTATATCTTTTAGTAGACCCAACTGTAAACTGTTGGGAAAGATATTAGACAAGACTTAGGATGAGGTTACATGTTATAATTAGACCATATTAAGGACACTTTAAATGCGTGTGTCTGGTGTCTGCACATTAAAGCTTGTTAGCAAGTGCTAAGTGCCCTCTAGGCATGTTATTAAGGTTATGCCACTTGGAACAAAGATTATCTTCGAACTCTGCTCCCTAGCTCTATTTACCTTAACTTCTGGCTGCTTCACTGAGATAAAAAAAAAACAGTGTGGTGTTACGGTTTACCTTTGAACCATTCTAAAGACATCTAAAATGGGAGTGTCCCTGCATTAAAGGGTGTTAAACAGCTAAGTATCTTAAGATGCCTCTAAGCATCTTAAAGTTACACCACTTTGAGCAGGGGTTATCTTTGAGCTGTTCTACCTAGCTCAAGCTAGGGTATTGTTAATCCGCTCCATGGACATAAACCAACCAATTTGCAGTCATCCAGCATTTTAGGATTCATGGCTCCCAGCCCCTCTATTCCTGACAACATTTCCATACTCCCAAGCTCTATGCCCAGGGTGTGGTACTGGCCCTAAACCAACCCTTGCATCCACCCCTGATGGGTATGACCCTAGCCCACATGGTACCACGCTGCTGGTTCCAAGAACCACAGGACACCCAATCCAGGCCCCGGGCCGGGGGCTATATATGTGGCCCTCCCTTCAGAGGGCTGACCTCACATCTGGGTGTTTCCCCTTGAGCCAGGAAAGTTGTGGGGGGAAGGAGTGTAGCTTCTCTCCCCAACATCCTGCATTACTTGGGAGGGATGGTAGAAGTGCCTGCCTAGCACCAAGTCCCACAAGATCATGTAGTCTGGGGCAGCTTTCTTCTGCCAGGTTCATGGTGTTGCCACAGTTAACCCCCAGTGGCTCTGTGCTGGGAGTGGAGCCACAGGGCAGCAAGAGCATGTTGCCCAGAGCTCTGTGCTGTCACTGTACTTAACCTGACAGGAGTGGGTGGGGGGAATCAGAGGTGCTGAGTATATGGGGGCCCAAGGGCCCTAGTCCCACTTCAGAAAGAGAGGTGTCATCTGAAATGCCTAAAACTTTCCACATGACCATCAACTTTTGCCATCCACCCCCCAGCAAAAATAAGCCAATGCCTAATGGGGCAGAGATGCCAATTGATCCTTTCCATTCCAGGCCCATTGGCCCCATACCCACTGCCAGGGGCAGGTGGTGCAGGTGGGCCAGTGATGTCCCCATGGAGACTGCTCTGGGACCCTTATGGGCAGGGCATGCTTGTCCAGGTGGATGGGATTGAGGATAGGCAGGCAAAGAGTGGCATCCAGAAGTGGGAAGGGCAGGGGCTAGGACTGGTGCTGGGATCACAGGGTGGTGATAGCATGGGGCCAGGTCTGTGGCCTTGGCAGAGCTGCAAGCAACTTCCTGCTCATCCCTGTGGTGGGTGCTGGCTCTGTGAGCAGGGGGACAGCCAGGCAGCAGGTGAGTTGGGGTGGGGAAAGGGGTGAAGGGGGACAGGGGGAAACAGGAGAAGGAACGGAGGGGGGAAAGGGAGGGGGCAGGGGAACAATGGGCATGGGCAGAGGTGGGCATTGGGAAGGGAGATGGGGTTGAGGGGGGAGTAGCTGGGTGAGGAACTGCTGGGCAGACACAGAAGGGGAGCAGGTGGGCCTGGCAGCTTCCTATGCACCTGGATTAGACCAATGCCACTCCTGCCAGGCCGTATGGCAGCACTGCCCTACAGCATGCAAAGACGGCGCAGGCTGCAAGCAGCCTGGAAGCAAGCAGGGAAGGGGATCCTCACCAATCCACTACTGCCACTGCTGGTCTTGGTGGCATGGGGGTGATTTGGGTGGGGGGTGATCCAAGCAGTTGAAAGAGATTGGGGCATCAGGGGGTGATCAAAGTGGAAGGGTAATTAGGAGGATGGCAGGGAAAACCAGGGGGCAATCAGGGCAGGGACCCGTGGGGAGTCTAAGCAGCAGTGGGGGTGACCCATATGGCTGGGGGTGTGGAGATCAAGACAATAGTGCTAAATGAGGAGTATGTGTGTGTGGGGTGGGTGGGGGGTGGGGGCAAGAAATTGGGGATGATCCAAGTACTATGGGAGGGCTCCCCTGCCCTCTTCCCCTGCTAGTCTATGCTGGGGCTAGAGAGCTGGCAAATTGGGGAGGCATAGAGCAGACTTGGCAGCTCTCGGCCATGCACCTGCTCCCCAGGCCTCTAGCAGCAAGTTTGCTGTGCACATTAGAGAGGGCATTAAGTCTGAGCGTGCAACTGCTCACAGCCTGTGCTGACTTTAACACAACCTAACACTCCTCAGAGTTAGCACGTGCTAATTGTAACCCTGAGTCTGGAACAAAACTTCTGAGATGTGCCATGCCCCCTATCAATCTAACTAAATAGAAAGCTGATCAGATGCTTCATATTTCAATGTTTTTAATTCTTCCTGAGCTTATGAAGTTTTTTACCAGCATTTTCCAAAATGGTAGGGTGGCACAAAATACGTATATATTAAAACATGCATCCTGTTAATGAACCATGTCAGGACTAGTCTTCCTCAAGTGGGGCTCAGCTTTCAAAAGATTAGGAAACTACTGGAGGATATGGAGGATCTTGTCAGCTTCATGAGATTGCAATAAATCACTGCCTGCACTATTTGTACTGGCGTACTTGAGATTTTCTCATGTCAGGTTTCAAGAAGGTCTCTGAGTAAGTAATCTGGTGCATATATCAGGCAGTGCAGCTGTTAAAGGCACTTTTGAGAGCAGAGGCATTGATCAACATTCCTGCATGTAGAAGGGCTGTCATTCCTTAGCTGTACAAAGGCTAGTATTTGTCCAATCTTTCTTTGGTGGATTCTGACCCTTATCCTACAGATCCTTATATAGATCCTTACTGAGCCCTTTTCTGAGCCTCTGAAGCAGAGTCATTTGTGTGTGCAGTCAACAAGGTTATTCTATTATACACCACTGCAAGA